GGAGCCCCCGCTCCTTCCTCTACTGGCGGCTGCGCCGGCTGCTGCTGGAGGAGGCGGTGAAGGCCGAGGTCCTGAAGGCGAACAGCGAGCTCAGCCACATCCACGTCCAGTCCATGCTGCGGCGCTGGTTCATGGAGACGGAAGGAGCCGAGAAGGTACCCCCTGCCCCAGCTTCCGGAGGCACCCCCGGGGCCGTCACCTTGCTCCCGTGGCACTCGGTTGTTTCATAGGTGCCTCCCTGAGGGTTTAAAGGTGTGATGGGAATTACTTCTTCTCCAGAGTGGGTGTTTACATGCCAGGGAGTGGGGATTGTTCTGTGCTGTATGTGCAGGCCTGAGATGAATCCCCCCCCCCCTTGCCTGCTTTTGTGGTGGGAGGAAAAACCCTGAGGCCACAGCAGAAAGGGGGTTCAGGCTGTGCAGGCAGCAGGACCCTCTGCCCACGGTGCTGTTCTCCCCAGGGCTACCTCTGGGACAACAACCAGGTGGTAGTGGAGTGGCTGGAGAAGCACATGCAAGAGGATGAAAGTGCCCAGTCAGCCATCCGGGAGAACATCAAGTGCTTGAAGCGGGACTTTGTGCTCAAGCACATCCGGAGGTGAGTGGCTGTGGGAGCTGGATGGGGTGATGTTGTCTCCTGGGCTGGGGACAGCACGTGGTGGAGATGAAGCAGTTCTTGCTTCAGCCTCCAAGGCAGCCACCGTCTCCCTTCTGCCTTGCAGCTTGGTCCAAACCAACCCCGAGGTGACCATGGACTGCATCACTCAGATAGCTCAGCACCTCAGCCCTGCACAGAAGGCCCAGGTTGCCCATCTCCTGTCAACAGTGGATAATGACAGCCCATCTTGAGCCGGTGGCATGCAGGGCAATTGCCATGGGGCAGGAGGGACACCGGGACACGCTGCTGCCCAGAGGCCAGACCTCACCTCCCCACCCGGTCCCTCAGTCCGTGAACTGAAGCTTTGGGCTCTTACTCGTGTGCCTGAATAAGGATGGCAGTGTTTGCGTTTTGGGCCCTGAAGCTGGTCTTGCCATCCATCGAAGTTCCCTCTGGTGCTGGGGTGTTCGTCAGAGGGGCAGCTTGGCAGGAGATAGACTCGTCCTGAGCCAGGCCTGGAGTCTGGACCTGGTGCAGAGGTTGGTTTTAAATCCACAATCTTTTACTGTGTTTTGCAAGCTCTGGCCTTAGTCTTTAAAGCAGGCACCAGTGTCAGGCACATGGCAGGAGACTGGATGGAGCTGGAAGTACAAACCGCATGGCCCAGGCACTGCGGGGAAGCGGGACGAAGGAGGAGGAGGAGGTCTCCGTGTGGCTGTGTTGAGGCTGACCAGCACTGGCACAAGGAAGTGTAACCCCTGCTTAAGCAGCAGTCACAACGTGCTGTTTTCTAATAAACTCAGGAACTGTGAAGAGCAGCTTGTCTCGTCCTTCCCCTTTCTGCGGAGCAGTCAGGAGATGGGACTGGGTAGCTGGTGGCCCAGAAGAGGCATCAGTGAGCTGTGCTGGGGGCTGTTGCAGCAGAAGCACCGATGGATCCACCATGGTTTGACTGACCCAGTTGTTCCTCTCACCTGTCTCACGTCCCTTCTGGCTCCCGCTGTGGCTTCTTGGGGTGTTTTCAGCCTGTGGCTCCTACAGGGGACAGAGAGGAGGGTCCTGCCTCAGTAACCAGGTTGCTCTGCTGAAGCACAGTAGCTGGGGTGAGCTCTCTGTGTGCTTGGACCTGGACCTTGCATCTAGGGTGGCCTTTGGTGGGATCAAAGCCTCGTTCGTGGAGGGGAAATGTGGAACGTGGTGTCCAGTGCCCCAGTGTGTCACTTCACCAGCACAGGGTTAGTTTTGGCTTGCAGAGGGGGCAGCAGGGTGGCGATGGGAGGTGGGATGCCTGGTTCCAGGGCAGTTCGAGCCATGCCTGGGCTGGGGGTCCCACAGGATCTGCAGGGGGGTGCTCCCTGTCCTAGGGCTGGGAGAAAAGGGCCTTGTGAAATGCTTTGTGGTTTGAAAGGTGTCGCTGCGCTCTGGGAAGGGGGGGTGATGGTCACTGTACGGGCCAGGCCCAGGCAATAAAGTGAGCCCAGCTCTCGGGCCGCTCTCCTGCCCTCCTGCTGTCCTTGTATAAACGTGGTGGGTCTGAGCAGGGGCCGGCGCCTCTGTCACTGCGCGGCCCTCTCCCTGCAGCACTCGCGCTGCCACCGGTGCAGTTACAACACCCACAACCACGGGCTGAGTGCTAAGAAATGTTTATTGAACACATGAAGAACCAGCGCCGCCGCCGCTCACAGCAAAGGAACACTCATGACAATAAATTAGGACGTGGAGCATCGTGCCCCTTCGGAAGAGGTGGCTGTGGGCAGATGCTCGGGGGGAAGATTCAGGCACAGACGTTTTCCAGCCCTTGATCTTCACTGCGGGATCTCCAAGCCCCAGAGCGTGGATCCAGCATCCTGCACCCTCCAGTCTGCAGCACATGGAGCAGTGTGGGATGAGGAGCCTGTGAGCACGGGGGTGCAATCCCAGGAACCGGGAGAGTCTGTGGATGCACAGGAACAGATGAAACGCAAGACCTAAGCATTGGTCTGTGCTCACAGAGGTGTAAGTAGACTAAATGCTGAATTCCAGCATCCAGTAACTTTGTAGATTTTCAGGTATCTCTTTCTTTGCAAGGGCTGTTGCCAGGTATAAAGCAGGGTTTGACAATGTACAAGCCTACATTAGCCTCAGTTGTCCTGGGTTAATCAGGAGCAAAAGACGTTGTGACAGTCATTAGGAACAGTTACAATATTTGGTCTCTGAGTTATTCTTTATAACACATGAGTTTCACAGTATCAAAAGTGCTTCTTTAAATGTGGTGTGACAACAGCGGTTGAACTCGTTGCATTTGGAGCAGGAATAACTTAGTGGATGTAAACCAGGTCACTGCAGCATTTGACAAACTCACTTCACATAATTTCTTTTCATAACAATAAATATAAATAAATTTACAAACAGTAACACTGCCTAGCACAGAACAGACAGGAGCACGATGCACAAGATCTAACCACATCTAATCTCTTCAAAACCCCTAAAAATAGGCATAATTCCTAAAATCTTCTAGTTCAGTAATTCAGTAGTACCACTCCCTTCACAGGTAAGGGCTCTGCCTTTAATCCTACATAGAACAGTTCTCTGCTATGGGTTGGATTTTTCACTTTTAGTATTTTTCCTCCTTTTTTCCTACTTCATAACAATAAATTAACAATAGTTATGTCCAGAAAGTGTTAGTGGTGCAAGTGGCTCCAGAACCTGTGTGGTCCTTGATCAAGGGCAACAGTTATTTGGTAACTTTAGGAAAAGAGATGGAATTGGTGCAGGATCAACCCCTTTGGGCTACAACTTGGTGCTGACTGGCCCATTGACTTGTGTTGGCTTCTGTGTAGGTGGTGCCCAAAGAGCATCCAGTGTGTGTACCTTAACTGGATGGTTTTAGCTCAGTTACTTTCGAGTCAAGTTCCTGCTGGCTGAGGCCTTCCACATCCTTCTGGAGAGCTCCCCAGTCCTGGAGCACAAGTGTCCATGCCCCTTCTTCAGCCTTCCAGCACGTGAAAGTGGTTCTGCTGGTGACAGTTTGATTTATTTTGGCATCACGTGCTGCGTCCCAGGGAATAGCATCTGCAGGAGGAGCTCTCTTATTGCTTTCAGGTTGGATTTGAATGGTTGGGAGAAACTGGCCCCTACGCTGGAGGTCCCTGGAATGGTGCAAAGCTCAGAGCAGAGCGATGGGTTTGTTGCCCTGGGGGTTCATGTACTGAGCTGCCGCTGCCACGTTGTCCAGCGTGGTGTAGGTGGTGTAAAGGCCGGTGACCTGCACGTCCGAGAAGGAGTGATCGCTGCCGCTGGAGACAGGGGTGAGGCCGGGGGTGCCCAGGTCACAGTCTGAGAGGTGGAGCGGGGAGGTGCTGAAGGCAGCCAGGGTGTCGAGGCTGAAGCTGTCGTCTTTCATCTCCTCCCATATGTTACCTGGGGAAGATGAAAGTCTGGTCACAGCAACGCATCCAGCCCCCCCAGGCACCACGTGTAGGGGTCAGTATGTAACAAGAGGGCTTTGCCCACTGCTTAGGACCAGCGCTGCTCCTGGGTGCTGCCAGTTGTAGTGCAAAGGCAACAGCAACTGTATCTGTTCCCCCCCTGAATCCTTTGGTTTCGGGAGGAGTTTAGGACTCTCTGGACAGCATCTATCTACCATGTGCTAACCAGAAACCCAAGGACCACACCAAGCTGGGGAAGTTCTTTTACAGAAAGGAGAAACCAAGGTGCAAGCAGCACTCTGGTTTCCCAGGGGCAGGGAGCGGTGATGGCCCAGGCAGCTGGACAACCCTGCTCATATCTGCTGCAGTGCCTGTGCGTGAACCATGAAGGTGGGTTGTTGTCCCACCTAGCACAGGGCAGGAATTTCCATGTAGAAGGGCCAGGGAAGTCATGCTGCAGCAGCCAGCACCCAAAGTTCCAGCTCAGTTACATCCCATCCCAGAGCACCCTGGTTATATACTCAGTGCCTACGTAAAACCACATAAATCACGTCCTTCCCCGCCCCAGCTTCCTCCTCCTGTACCTTGCAATGCAAAATCCATGATGCTTGGGTCGAGAGCGTCCACCTCCGTGCTCATGTCCGCTGTCACGTTCAGGAAGTCCGGCGGCGCGCGTCCCATGGGATGGTGTGGGAGAGGGCTGTGGCTCCCATCAGGTAGGGTATGGAGAGGAGGTGTCTGCGCGGGTGCTGGTGAGTCTGGGGCGATGCGAGGCTGGGGCTGGAGCTGGTGGTGCAGGGGCATGGACTGCAGCGAGAGCGGCATGCGCGGCTGGGGCGGGAGCGCGGG